TTATGTGTTATCAATTGTTTGCATACGTTATACTATAGGGCACCTTTAATAATATGCCTAGCAAATGAAATGAAAGTGTCAATGACACTGTAGCTCACCACAAAAAAAGGACACAAATGAGTGAGTGAGTAAGAGATGTCAGTTTTAATTGAGCAATTCATCGACGTACATTATAGAAACGAAGGAGGGGGGATATTATGGAAACTGCCATTATATACTCTTGATAATTATGTGTAATTTTTTTATGTAAAATAAATGTTTGAGATGTGAAAGTCTGAGATGTGGGCGAGTGATGGCGTTCACCTAAATGATCGCCCAATAACGAGTTTTTTATAATATTCAATTCTAGGCACTGCCAAAAAGCGAAGCTCCCGATGCTGTAAACGTGTAAGATTGAGAGGATACGCTTATTCCACGTAGCTTAGCTATACTTACCCACGTGACAATTGGCGTTTCGCCTGCCCATAAACTAACTTTTGTCAAAGGTTAATTGGTTGCATGGAATTGTTTACTTCCTATGAGTTTTTCAGCAGTAGCACATGCGTTTGCCATCTGTATATCGCAATATATAATTTATAAACGCAAAATGAATCACAATTGTGACGGTAGATGGCGCTATACCCGCTTTGCATGTTTCTTAGCGATGGCATTCGAAATAAATAGGTTATGCTGCCGTTCCGACATGTTTGTAAAACTTTACTCTAATATAGCACGTTTTATCGGCAGGGTGGGAGGAAATACCAATATTGCATTAAAGGGAATCGTTTACTCTAGCGTTCTAGGGTTATTTTCAGTGTAATTTAGGTTAAAATTACGCTACATAAAAAGTTTCACGATTCAATCACCATTAGAAATATTTATTAAAAAATGTTTAAAACTAAACGACTACAGTTTGATTACAACGACGGTGGCGCCATTCAAAGCGCCACCATATCTGATAAGTTGCGCAAAACCACTTTCCAGCCAAGGCTACAGACCGAGGCGTGGTTCTTATAAACAACCATCATATAGTTTCAGTTATAATATGGATAAATTTGCCCTAAAATGAATTCGTTTGGTTAAATAGCATAAGGTATAATATAATTGCACTTTTGTGATTAGCCCTCGGTCTGATAACGTGCCAAAATAAATTGTCAAATACGCAACTTTTCGGGGTGGCGCACGGTCGCGGGTGTCATGGCGCCCGTTAAAATTTCGTAGCGTTGATGTGTAATTAATTATAACATTAAATTAGGTATCTGGTAAACAAATACGTGTGGGGCGATTTGTTATACAGTAAGTACAGTTGTATGCAGTTAAAATCCTAGAGTGCCTGCTGTCCCTTTAAAGATATTGTCAATGAAATCTTGCAAAAACGAACAGACGAGTGTGACACCACAGACTGTTATCTGCGTGTCCATATAATATGCTATATAATTGCCAAAACCTAAGTAATTTGCATAAATTTTTTTTAAATATTAAAAGCCCTGGCCCTTATTCATTCACATACCAAAATAGCAAAAATCCGTTTACCTGAACTGACTAATGACAATCAATTTGTGCCAAAAAATTGCCGTGGCCGAAAGTACGTTCAACTGGCGTGCCTCCAAAATAGGACGTTCAAACCTCTGCCATAGCAGTAACAACTATACCCAATTTCAAACATGTGGGTGAAACGGTTCCCGAGTATTCGTTGACCGCTAGCCAAATGTTGACGGAAGACAGACGGACGGACGGAGGACGACAACCCATGGCAATAGCTCATCTTGACAATGTCAAGGTGAGCTAAAAAGGTGAGGGCACCATTTTTCATTTTGACGTCAAAGTTAAGTAAAATAACCTTTGATATCAAATGATATTACGTGAAAATTGAATTATTCAATATGTCAAGCATTAAAGCTAGAATTCTGATATCGAATCGCTTGATTCACAACAACTGTCTAGACTCTAGAGTAACATTACATGGCTTAGAACCTTCGTACTTAGCTGTATTCACCAAAACATGCCACAATTCAAATTTTGATTACTTGTTTTAATTTCCGCCTCCATTTCTTGCGAATCTCGGCACTACTCTCCTGATAGCGCGAGATATGAGCCCAATTTAAATTATAGAAACGAAGTACCGTACGACTACACATAAATATGCCATGGTGTTACAGGCATGTTCAATTCCAATTTCTATGTTATAACAGCATAAGTCTCTAGCGTTTTTCAAGTTGGTGTAATCAGTAATATATCCGCTACTAGGGCTGAGAGAGTCTATGTCACCCGGGTACTGCCGGAACGTACCCTGGGTACGGTCCGGTATACGAAAACGTACCCTGGTACTATCGTAATATGCCGAACCGTACCTCGCCTACTCCACTAACGAGTCTAGGGAGTCGCTACGCCTACTCCATACCCCTAACCATATCAAATAGTTACCAGGGTACGTTTCGCGTATACCGCGACCATACCCAGGGTACGTTCCGGCAGTACCTAGGGCGACATAGACCTTATGAGTGCTACTAGGTGAGACTATACGTCGCTATTTTTTATTCTTCCTTTTAGAGCAAGATTTTAAAGAAATTCTTTAATAGTTATCGTTGACCGTAGCAAATGTTGACGGAAGGACAGACGCGCGACGGAGCGGACGACGAGACCATGGCAATAGCTCATCTTGACAATGTCAGAGGTGAGCTAAAAAGGTGAGGGCTACCATTTTTCATTTGACGTCAAATTTAAGTAAAATTACCTGATATCGAATGATATTACGTGAAAATTGAATATTAAATATGTCAAGCATTAAAGCTAGAATTCTGATATCGAATCGCTTCATTCACAACAACTGTCTCTGGGAACAATTCCAGCCAAAAATGTGCATAGCAAATGTGCTATACAAAATAAATATTGCATAGCAATTGGATAAAATTGGTATAGCATTTTTTTTCCAGACAATCACAGTGCAAATTTACACCGCAGTTCATGCTTGGCGTGTTATTCGTGTCGGCCTGTGACAGGCACAGCTAGCTTAAGCCTAGGACACACTAGCGATTCTGCACGCTGCCGCAGCGTTTAAACAGCGTGCGAGCTTGGCAACCCCGCTCGCCAATGTCGAGTAAAAATAATGTCGGGCGTGCGAGCTGTGAAAGCTAAAGCTGACTCGCCCATGTTGGCGAGGTAAAATAATTGTCTAGCAACTTTAATCAAATGTTGGTTCCTTACGTTATATATCTCCAACATTGATGAAATACAGTTCTAACGATTGTGAAGGCGCCTATCCGACTCCTCGACCACGACATCCTCACTTTATATTATCAAAGGTGCCGAAGAAAGCAGCCCGCGAGAGGCGTGCAGCGCCAGCACAGCGTGGCTGTGTATACGTGCCTGGGGCGGCATATTGATTGATGTACGGGGGGGGGGGGGAGTGCAGGATTGTTTAAAAGTCACGTTTGGCCGTGGTGTGTAACAAATCAATAAAATCGGCGTAACGTGGCATTTCATTGACGCGGCAAAGCAGCCCGAGAATAAAAGTAAAATTGGTAAACTTGTATGTTTCCGTTTACATCTCGCATGGGCTGCATCGCACAACTGCGATTCATAAAAAAATATGCGTAGCCAAATGCGCTGAAAATACATCGCGAATTGCGATGCGATACCGCGGAAAATTATTCCCTGTTCTAGAGTAACATTAACATGGCTTAGAACCTTCGTACTTAGCTATATTCACCAAAAATGCATGATTCAAATTTTGATTACTTTTTTTAATTTCCGCCTCCATTTCTACGAACTCGGACTATCTCGCTGATAGCGTGAGATATGAGCCAATTTAAATATAGAAACGAAGTACCGTACGCTACACATAAATATGCCATGGTGTTACAGCATGTTCAGTTCCAATTTTCTATGTTATAACAGCATAAGTTCTTAGCGTTTTTCAAGTTGGTGTAATCAGTAATATATCCGCTACTAGGGCTGAGAGGGTCTATGTCCCCCCGGGAACTGCCGGAACGTACCCTGGGTACGGTCCGGTCCGGTATACCGGAACGTACCCTGGTATTATCTAATATGCCGGACCGTACCTCGCCTACTCCACTAACGAGTCGCCTACGCCTACTCCATACCCCTAACCCTAACCATATCAAATAGTTACCAGGGTACGTTTCGGTATACCGGACCGTACCCAGGGTACGTTCCGGCAGTACCCTGGGGGACATAGACCTTATGAGTGCTACTAGGTGAGACTATACGTCGCAATTTTTTATTCTTCCTTTTAGAGCAATGATTTCAAAGAAATTCTTTAATATGTACAGCACACTATAGCATTGTCAGCTCTCGTCTATACACACTAAACTTACCAACAAGTCATTTTCTGCTGATCACACAGTCCAAAAAGACCTGGGTGTTTAATGTTTCCGTAAAGTATTACACATATATGCAGTCATCATAAATCATACGTAACTAACAGATTGCAGTCTGTTATGTAAACACATGCGTGTGTTTTTATAGGTATGTTAACGAAGTTTAAGCCATGGGGAAGCACAGAATAAGAACGGACAGGCTCAATCCTACATTGAGAACCTGGTATACAAAATGACCACGAATGCATCTAATCAATGGGTGAAAAAAAGTCAGACAGCTGTTTGCTAGAGTTACCGAGCCATCTCTGAACTGCATAGTGCAGTGAAGGCAGGTTAGTAGCTCGTTGTAGTCGGTCATATAATATTTACTCAGCTGACGCCAATTCAGTACGACCTTTAGCATGTACAAAATGACAAGCACTTGGGCCTTTGGGGCAAGTTGAGACGTTTTAATTATAAAATGACCTTAGTTATTAGTAATACTAATCGATTAGAAAGGAGGTTCTTGGTGGTCTACATCCATAACATTAACAGCGTTAATTACTCTCGATTTCTCGCTTGTAGTTGTATTACGTGTTGCAGCAACGCCTATAATATTACTGACAACTGTGGCAGTGTGATTCTACTAGCTACAACTACAAGTACAAGCGTATCTGAAAGACAGCCGTTTTCTATACTTACGCCAAGTTACGGCACGTAGCCACTACTCCAGTACTTGGTCCGTCTACGGTCTAGCATTAACGTCTCCACGAATTCGTTCCTTTTATTGTGTAATCATCTTCTGTTGCAGAACTTACCAGAGCTGTAGGTTGCTAATCAAATTGAGCTCCAATTAAACTCAGGTCTTTCGATCGACGACAGGTGTGGCAGAATCAGATAAAACAGGAGAATATCATAACAACGCCGTCAACACACCTGGGTGCTCAGGCTAGCCACAGCGACATCTATCGCCAATAACCGAGAATATGACGCGCAACGTTGTAGCTGCTGACGTTGTACCTGAACAGCATTAATGATTCAACATGACGTTCAGAATAGTTAAAACGAACAGAGAGTAGGAACTCGTCACAGAAGCTTGATTATATATTTGTATAAATTGGAATTTTTACTATATTCTGAGCAAAATTTGCCGTTAAGATTAGTGAAATAAAAATTTGTTTAACGTATTCATATATTTTTTACCCGTTGCCGCGTTTTACGTACAGCGTGTATTGTACTATTAGAATGTCGCGACTGCACGATTATTCAGAGAAAACAGTCTTGTTAATTCTGCCATCAAATCAATGGGTGTATTTGTAGTTTTCTGCATGAAAACACGGATGCGAATCATGAGGTCATGGGGTGGTATATATTGGACAAGAGCTCATGTCACGCTATTAATTATGCATGAGCTCTTGATATTGGACCATTCCTTCCGACGACCAATTAATAAGTTTGAATGAATTTTTGCAAAATTAACGTTTTCATGCGTGAATACAAATACAAATGGAAAGTAGAAAACGTGCTCTCATAGTTAAAAACATTTTTAAGCAAATCTCTAAATATTCGTATTGATTACTTACCGGTCAATTGATATACGTGTAAGTTGAAAGATTTGAACCAACTGTCTTCGACACTTCTATAATAACAGGGCCAGTTTACTTTAAATGTATGATGACGTGCATCTGCTCGTTTTACTGCGCATGCACACGTTTTATTGCTCGCTAATAGTATGTTTGTCTGTCGGTTTCTCACAGTCTACAACGATCTTGCAAAATTCACGATTCCGCTCCATGGGCGTGCGGGCGTGCGTGACCGTTCAAGTTCAAGTAAAATTTATTTTCATCGGTATATAATGAACATTATTAACATAAGCTAAGAGCTTTTTCACCGATATCAAACAAGAGTAAATAGATAGTGATTAAAACACGATAAAAACTACGTAACTGCAATGTTACTATTACATAATTGGCCGAATTGCCTTTAAAAACAATATATCAATATATCACATGTCAATTAGCGACACATTGAGCATCTGCAC